TGTTGCAGCATCCCCACAGTCATGAGAGGCCAGGCGAGAGATGCGTGCCTCGATGTGAGTGATATTGAGTTGGCCACGCCCACCCAGTCACATGACCACCAAGCCACGCCCACCACCCAAGCCGTGCCCACAGAACCGGTTGTTAAAATTTTTGAATCCCACCCCTGAAGGGGAGGCCCGATCCATTCCTTACCTGGAGTAGCTTCACAATGCACGGTGAACCACCGACCTGCAAAATTTCCTTCATTTTGCATTTCCTTCATTTCAGGCTCGGACAGGGGTTTACTGTTCCTGCAAATTCTTAATTCATTGCTTTGGCTGCATAGAGTTCACTGCCTCTTTGAAAACCTGTTTTTCCTGACTTGCTTTGCTCCAGCTTATTTAGGGCAAAGCCATTTTGGTGGGTGGGTGGTGGGGAGGAAGGACACCTTGGCATAACTGCTTGACATGCTGGCTGTCTACCTTCTCATAGCTTGCTTGGGTTGTGGTATTTTAAGGCGAGATCACAAAAGGAAAAAAAAAAGAGGCTGGGAAGGTAGTAAATGGTAACCACAAGAGTTGGTATGTTTATGAAGTGAGTCTTGCCCCATTTTACAACCTCTCTTGCCAAAGTTGCTAAGTGGCTCCCTACAGTTGTTAAGTGAATCTGGCTTCCCCATTGACTTGGCTTGTCAGAAGGTTGTAAAATATTATCACATGATCTTGGGACACTCCAACTGTCATGAGTCAGTTGCCCAGCGTCTGAATTATGATCATGGGAATGCTGGAATGGTCGTAAGCGTGAAAAATGGTCATAAGCAGAGGTGTTATTCAGCAGGTTCTGACCAGTTCTGGAGAACCGGTAGCAGAAATTTTGAGTAGTTCGGAGAACCGGCAAATACCACCTCTGACTGGCCCCGCCCCCATCTCTTCTTTACCTCCCAAGTCCCAGCTGATTGGCTGGGTCTTCTTTTGTTGCCTTGCACAGGAGAACAGAGCTGGAAAGCAGGTGTCATGCCCGTTGGAATCTGATGGGGGGGGAGGTTGAACAGCTGACAGGGAGTGTGGCTGTGGAGAAAACTGGGGAAGGACATAGTCCGACTGGGCCCACCCCCACTTCATCCTAGGGCATCCAAGGAGGAATGGATAAGGGAGCAATGTGGGTTACAGGGGAGAAAAGGGCCTTGATTCCCTTCATTAGCTGCAGCTGGGAAAACAGGATAAAAAAGGTGTTTGCACACAGCACCTTGCTGGAAGCAAAGTGTGCCTTATCTTTGTTTATCATGTCTTATCTGGGTCCTCCCAACTGTGTGTGTTTCGTTATCTTTTGAAGTCTGCAATTCCTTATCCTGCCCTGTCTCATTAATTGCTGCAGCTTTGTGGTTTGTGTTGGTTTTTATTTATAATTTAGATGTACTTTGGGCTCGGACTGAATTTCTGCCCTTTAAAAACTGTTCTTGGAGAGTTTTTTTTCTCCAGCCGATGATAACTGGATATTGGGGGTCCAGTTGGAGGAATTAAAGGGACTTTACCTACTTTTGTGACTTTGTTGCTTCTGTACCATGCCCTGGGTCATCACAGCAGGTTAGTGGGGTGGGGAGGGAATGGGGATTTTGCAGTATCCTTCCCCTGCCATGCCCACCAAGCCACACCCACCTAGCCACGCCTACAGAACCAGTAGTAAAAATTTTTGAATCCCACCACTGATCATTAGACACTTTTTTCAGGGCCATTGTAACTTTAAACGGTCACTTAAATGAAATGGAAATCATAAGCAAATGGCTTGAGGAAAAAAAATACTCAACGACCAGCAGGTCTCTCTTTCTTTCCCTCCCTCCCTCCCTCTCTCTCTCCATCAAATTCGATCCGATTCTGTTCCTTTTTCATAGTGTTATCCTGCTAACAGACAGCGTCCCAAAATCTTTTTGCAAAATTTCTTTGCAGTGTTTTGGAAAAGGTTGTTCAAAGGACTCCAACATAATCACATCCAACTGGATGAATCAATAATCAAGATAAGGCAAATTACCTTAAGTAACTAAACGTACAGCGGGATTTATTTTAATTCACTGGGGTTTTGTTAAGATACTGCTTGCATAATCCTTTTTTAATGATGCATTACCTTGCATGCATTACCTTGACCTATATGCAGCCCGGAGTTGGACCCCCAAAAAGGAGTCTGCCAAAAAATGAATTTTAACACAACAATGCATAAATCAGACATTAATTCTGCATGAATTTTTCAGAGGGAGTCAACTTGGCTGGGCCAGAAAGACAGCGCTTTGTGAGAGTACAACTAAGAGAGAGCCTTTATTTCAATTTAGATGGCCGCCCAATATTATATTCCCAACACAAAATGTATTCCGCTTTACAAAACTGCCCAGAGAACAAAGATAGATTTACAATGCCATTTCCCCATGTTGTGATCTGTAAAAGTTCAAAGCAGAGATTATATAAACAGTCAGCGTTTTCCCATGTATTTTGAAAACCTCTGGCTTTGTACATACAACCATGCCAAGCACTTGATTTGGGTTCAGTTAAAAAAAGAGGGAGAAAGTGCTTTGAACAAGATTGGATCCCGGTTGGGAAAATTTGTCTTGTTTCATCAAATCTCTACTTTCAACCTGGACAACTCGAAGATGTGTCTGCACTCTCCCAGCCAGGAATGTTGGGAGTTGAAGTTCACGAAGTTGCTGAGGTAAACACTAACTTATGATAAAGGCGTTCTTCAAGAACACAGATGGTTCTCGGTTAATGACGGTAATTGTGACCAGGAATGCTGTTGCTAAAGGATGTGGTTGTAAAGTTTGATGTCATATGACCAAACCAACTTATAGTAGGCGGTTTCAGTTGTGGTGTTTAGGCAAATCCCGTGTGGCCGTTAGGTGGGACATTACATCATTGCCATTTGTGAGTTCCTACTGGCTGCCCCAATGACTCTGCTTATCAGAAGGTTGCAGTGAAGCTCTCAAATGGTGATCAACAGAGACACTGCAACTTTGGGAACCAGTTTACACTCCCCTCGTTCAGAGTCATTGTAACTTTAAATTGGGGTCCCCAAACTTGGCAACTTTAAGACTTGTGGACTTCAACTCCCAGCTATGCTGGCTGGAGAATTCTGGGAGTTGAAGTCCACAAGTCTTAAAAGTTGCCAAGTTTGGGGACCTCTGCTTTAACTGGTCGGTGAACAAATATTAATCAAGTACTACCTGTTCTACCAAGAAAAATATTAAAGAAAAATATATATATATATATATTTGATTATATTTATTTAAAAAGAGTTAAAAGAAATATAATTTGTGGCAAGTGATCTATTCCAGACGACTGGTGCTTCTTTAATGGGATCTTCTATTTGCTTCAGTGTGGACCCAGTATGGTGTGTGGGGGGAGGGAAGGTGCTTATGGGCAGACCCAGACTTTGCTAATCTCTTAGGCATATGAACCAGTTGCACCCTTGGGCCAGTCCCTCCCTCTCAGCCCCACTCAATGTCGGGTTCTGTGACAAACCAACCTCTTGTTGCAGTGTGCCGATAACTAGGAGAGTGTATGCAAAAATTAGCCAACACTGCAAATACTAAGAAGAACCACAAGTTTTGTTTTGATGAATTGGAAGGCAACGGTGGCAGCAGGGCCACCGATATTGCCTGTAATGAGTTAGCAAAAACCTGAGCGCGCTGCCAGCAATTGCCAAGGCACCTGGTTGTAGAAAACGTATTTTAATAATAACAGAAATAAAATGAAATGCAGCTAACAAATGATAAACTGTGAATTTGCAGCATTCGCAATAGCTCAGAATCTTCCTTCCGGGGCAACAACTTCGCCATGTTCCATAATCTGGACAGAGCTCATTTTGGAAGTTTGATTTGTGGAAAAAGTAAGCAAAAGGAGAGATCATCTATGAAAGCACGTTCTTGGGAGCCGCTTAGTTACCCGTAAAATGAAAGTAAGCTAGGGAGAATTACTGGATTGTTTGTTTTTAACTCTCTCTCTTCTTAAGGGGAAATCTTAACCATATATCACTGAAAAAGAATTCCCAGGGATGGTGCTTTAAGTTGTAAAAGTCAGAAACAAATATATGGACCTGTCTCAGATTGCAGTTTCCATACATCGCAAAGCTTTTGTATTGCTCCATGGAGGACATTATATCAAAGTCTAATTTTTGTACAAATCTCTTTATTTGGGTCTGTTCCAGTCCTAAGCAAGCTGCCCCACACTTGAAACACAAAAAGTGTTCTTACACCAGAGAAACCATTCTTCTCATAATAGAAATATGTGAAACCTTTTTTCCCCCAAGTGGTTTTGGAAACTGAGACCAAGGTAGCTTTTCAGAGCCGTGTTTCTCAACATAGCAATTAAAGATTGGTGGACTCCAACTCCTAGAATTGCCCAGCTAGCATAGGTGGGAAATTGTAGGAGTTGAAGTCCACCTATCATTAAGCTGCCAAGATTAAAAAAAACGCTGGTCAAGAAGATTCCAGTCAATTCTGAATGGGTGTTTTAAAGGACCCTCCCCCAAACGTATGGTCCGTGGACTGGCAGCGGGCTGCAGCATGCCAGCAATCGGGCTGTGCAAACAAGTGAAGGATGCACCTACAGGATGCAGGCAGCATGCGAAACCACGCCCCGTCTGGTTCGTGGAAAAAACCTCTCTCCACAGAACCGGTCCCTGGTCTCCAAAAGATTGAGGGGAGCCGCTGTTTTAGAGGATAAACTCACATCTTGTCTGCAGCTCTTTAAAATGGCTGCGTCTTTTCTCAGGCTGATGGGGCTGCCGCAGCAGGCAACCTTAAGATCCTGACAAAAGCCAACGCTGCTTTAAAGAGCTCTAGATAGCTACTACATTGGCACTTCCTGCACACTCCATTCTTTCCCAAAGTGCCGCACAGCCCAGCCTTCTCCTGTACAGCCAAGAAAAGTGGCAGAATTTAGCCATTTTCAGCATCAATTCGCACAGGTAAAATATTCAACGGTTTTAATTTGTCATTTTAAGCGGCCCCTTTAAAACACTGAATTTTCCACAGCTTGCAGTCTCATGAGTCATTTATTTGAAGGAGAGGATTGCAGGACATTCAGCTCCTTTCAAACACCGGGTCAAATATTTCTCCTGTTATCCTTCCAATTTTTAAAAAGCAGTGCTCCTATTCCCCATCACCCCAAATCTATCTCTGTGCAAAACTGAATAAACTCAATCGCTAAGCAGGTTTTTTTTTACAGCTGCAGAAGGAAGTAAATATGATTGAATTTTAAGCGCCATTTATTTCACAGGTGGGAGGAACAGTGCTGTTCTAACATTGGTCAGGAGGTTAAAAACCAAGCAAAATAATTTGTGAAAAGATATTTAAAGGGGGCGGCTCTTTCCCACTCATTGCCAATCTCCCATGTCAACTTTATTCTGTATGTCATATATATTTTTTTGTTCTTTTTGTTCCTTTGATCTTTTTTGTTCCTTAAACTTGGCAGCCTAGCATAGGACTGTAGTTTTTGTTTTGAAAATAACAACCCACAAGCTCATATTGTGTATTAATGCTATACTAAGCGCTTTCCCCTTTTTCTTTCCTGTAGCACGTTGTCAATTCTCTTTAAGGTACATAACATGGACCATTAATTTTGAAATGTGCATGCTTGCAAATTTCTGTCAAAAACAATTTATCTGAAAAGAAGTCTTAAGAAGCGTGTGTTTCTTCTGTGTGTGTTTTGGGGGGAGGTTGAGAAGAACAGTGAAATTTCGGAGAAAGCTACACTTGTGTAATAGCACTTTTGAAATCATGAATTGTGAACTGCTCTTCGTCTTTTTAGATTTGCAGGGTGAGAAGTGGTCATTTTAGTGCCTTCCAAAATGAAGCATTTTTTTAAAAAAAAAAAAATCAATGCCACAATATTAATTTAGACATTTCAGTTACACCCAGGGTGAAAAGGTACCAAGGCTGCAAAGACTGTGTTGGAAGCCCACAGCAAAACCTCAAAGGCTTTTGCAGATATGCTTATAGAGAAGACAGGAAAAAAATCAACTAGCAAATTGCTGACTTCCCCCCAAAAACCAAAATATATTTTGTTTACATTATTTTGTGTTTTTCCCCCAAAAGCTGATCGCTGTTAATATCTCACCTCGTGTCGAGTTCTTCCAACCCATCTGCCCGTGTTGATAGGAAAAAACAACAACAATCCCATCTCTTGGCTTTACAAACAGATAGATTAAAAATTAGCATACAATATTAATGGAGTCCATGTGATGTTCTCTGGCTTCTTAACATGCTCCCAGGAAAATAATAAGTGGGGCTGTACAATAGTTACAAGTATCCTTCTAAGGAAATCTCAGCTGGGAAGGACTCGTTTTTAGGGCAGGCGCTGGTACGGTAGGTTTGCATTTCCTTTTTTTGGGTTTCAGTCCGAATCCCTCGTGAAAAGCTGGATGTCTTGCGGGTTCCAGTAAAGAGCCACGGCCGAGTTGTAGACAAGAGACCAAACATACGGGATGAAGAACTCTTCGGGCTGTTCCTCTTCCACGTACTTGAACTTCAGCTCTGGGAATTTCTGGAAAGGAGAAAGAAGAGTGTCAAGAAGAGGGGAAGATGTGAAGGCCTCAAGGAGCGGAGAAGTTGAAGAGCTTCTACCTAGGAAGTCATGTTTGGGGACAGGAACACAAGCCTTGATGGATTCCTCTTTGACGGGGCGTCAAACTCAAGGCCCGGGGGCTGAGCCTGCGGGGCCACCTTGGAAACTGTGAAGAACTGGCCCGCAGTGCTTCTGCAGTGAAAATGGGCTCCCGAGCTCTGTTTTCGGCTGCCATGGCCTCCTGCAACCCTCTGCCAGTTAAAATGGAGCTTGGAAGCCCATTTTCGCTGGCAGAAGCATCGCGGGCTGGCCCTGTGCTGTTTCCCAGGTAGCCCCGTGGGCCAGATTTAAGTACCTTGCATGCGGCCCTCCTGAGCTCTGTTTTCACTGGCAGAGGGTTGCAGGAGGTCTTGGCAGCTGAAAACGGAGCTTGGGAGCCCATTTTCACTGGCGGATTGCTCGGGTGACTAGAGGCGCCTCCAACGGGAGTGATTTCAAGCTGGCCACGCCCCCCCACCCCCCGAGGTCACACACAACCCTGATGCGGCCCTCAATGAAATCCAGTTTGACACCCCTGCTCTTTAGGAAGGAAATCATAGAAGACAGGATCACACAGCTGGAAGGGACCTTGGAGGTCTTCAGGACCAACCCACTTCTCTAGGCAGGAGACCTTAAAACAGACAGTCCTGACTTACAACAGTTCATTTAGTGACCATTCAAGTTTGCAATGGTACTGAAAAAAACTTGGGACCGTTTTTCACTCTTATGACCATTGCAGCATCCCCATGGTCATGTGATCAAACTTTGGATGCTTGGCAACTAACTTGTAGTTATGACGGTTGCAGTTCCCGGGGTCACATGGTCCCCCTTTTGCGACCTTCTGACAAGCAAAGTCAATGGGGAAGCTGGATTCACTTAATGACTGCACGATTCACGGGAACTGCTGGAGTGATTCGCTTAACAACTGCTGCAAAAAAGGCCATAAAATAAGGCAAATTCAGTGAACAATGGTCCTCTTTTGCAACAAAACGTTTGCACTCCATTGTGTTCATAAATAGAGGACTACCACATAAAATCATGCTTCTGCTAGGAGGTTGCCTAAATCCATTGTTGTAAAAGACGCTTAGAACTAACTGGATCACACCTGCGATAGGTGTGTGAAGAGATGACTAGATCACGCAGGGTTCTCTCCGCATAGGGTTCGTGTCCAGGCAGATGTGTTTTTTTGCCATTGGCCCCATTTAGTGACGGACACAAAAGGATAATCAGCAGCCAGAAAAATAAATAGAGAAAAAGAAGATTGATCACAAATTTCTCTCTCACTTTCCCCTTAATTTTATCTTTTTTTAAAAAAAATAAAAAGATTCCTGGATGGATTTGATTCTGGGCATATTGTTTGGGCTCATGCTAAATCTTAGACTTCGATTGACAAATCTCAATGAACAAGGTATCTTCTAATAAATAATATACAGAAAATGTGCTGGAATCCATGCACTGACAATGTGCTTGAAATCAAAGCTACTCAGCTCAATGTTAACTTGGTTAACATTGTAAAAACTGACCAATGAGCATTTTTGTGGTAAATATGCATTCCAGATCTTGTCCCAAAGGTGCTTTTTCAAGAGGCAACTTTGGACTTTCTGGTTTTTCTTTGGAGAGATTTCACTTCTCATACCAAGAAGCTTCTCACCCAGAGCTGAAGAAGCTTCTTGGATGAAAAGCAAAATGTCTTTAAAGAAAAACCAGAAAGTCCAGCTGCCTCTTGAAAAAAAACACCTCTGGGGCAACCATAGACATGCATTCCAGATCTATCCAAACAAGGGGAAAAAAACTTTGTTGTGATACTAAATACTGGAGGATTCTAGATTCTCTTTCTGAGATGAAATGCACCGGGCAGAGAGACTCACTGATTTTATTAGCTATTTTCCAAGATTGGAATGTATTTTAGAGGCAGGAGGGTCTGGTTGCTTGTGACAAGAGTAATTACCAGCAATCATGAATTATAAGAATTGTAATGGAAAGCTTAATATCAGTTTCTATAATCAATTGAATAGATTAATATTTTTGTAATATATAGATGATTTATAAGGCGATTGAGAAAAAGAATAACATGTGGAATCTGACTTAAAATATATGCTGATGTGATATGTAGTAGATAGGAGAATATAGTTATTAATGTAGAATGAGATAATTATAAGGAATTAAAGGGAATAAATGAAGGGAAAATACAAGATAAATAGGTGGTAAGCTTGAATTGATAACTAAAGGGGACAAATATTTTTTTAATTAATAGAATAAGGATGAAATTATTGAATAATAAATGGAATAACAGTATGTGATAAAATTGCAAATGGGACAGATAAAAGTAATATGTGTAGTGAATATAGAAATGAAATAAGAATCTTAGATAATACTGTAGAGCAGGATATGAGAATATTTTAAGAAAAATGAAATAATCTAAGTTATGAACTGAAATTGGATAAAATAAACTTAATGAATATAATATTTGAGAATATTTTTAAAAAATAGAATAAGTAATAAAGTGATATGAAATGGAACAAGAAAGATGAATATGTAAATATGGTCATATTTGTACTGAAATGTAAAAACCTGGAACCACACTGCTCACCAAAAGAGATGGGTTTTTCCCCCAAAAAATATAAAAACAAAAGAAGAAATTGAATAATGAAATTATCATGTATGTTTAAATAATATGGTGATTGGCATTAGAAGAATGTATTGGAATATTGAATAATGAAGGATTATAATTTAATACAAATATGTGTATTAACATTAGAATTATATGTTTGATGAATGTAAGAGATAGGATTAATGATGTCATTTTTGTTTGCACCAAAATGTATGATGCTTAGGTGCCACACTGTCTATGTATTGATGTCTATATAAGCAAAATAAATAAAAAACTTGATAAAAAAGAATAATTACCAGCAATCAAAAATGCACATTTTTGTCTCTACAAGAGTGTAGACCAGGGGTCCCCAAACTTGGCAACTTTAAGACTTGTGGACTTCAACTCCCAGAATTCTCCAGCCAGCATAGCTGGGAGTTGAAGTCCACAAGTCTTAAAGTTGCCAAGTTTGGAGACCTCTGGTGTAGAGCTTGTGTGGGCAAATGATAGGTAGTCCTCGGCTTATGTCCACAATTGAGCCCCAAAATTCCATTGCTAAAGTGAGACATTGGTTAAACAGGCTTTGCCCCATTTTACAACCATTCTGGCTACAGCTGTTAAGTGGATTGCTGCCGTTAAGTTAGTAACGCCGTTGTTTAAATGAATCTCTCTTTCCCCATTGACTTTGCTGGTCAGGAGGTCGCAAAAGGAGATCACATGACCCTGGGATATTACAACCGTCATAAATATGTGTCAGTTGGCAAGTACCTGAATTTTGATCACGTGACCATGAGGGACGCAGCAACAGTTGCAAGTGTGAGAAACGGTCCTAAGTCACTTTTTTGAACTTTGAATGGCCATTAAACAAATGGTTGTAAGTTAAGACTATTTATACAGCATGGGTGTCAAAACTCAATTTCACTGAGGGGCGCATCAGGGTTGCATTTGACCTTGTGGGGGGGGCGTGGCCAAGGTGGGCATGGCCAGCTCAATATCCCTTGTGACGGGGGAACCTGCTCTCTCTCCACTTGGGCTGGTCCTTTGCTGTTTCCAGGGCGGCCCCATGGGCCAGATCTACACACCCTGTGGGCCGAATCTGGCTTGCGGGCCTTGAGTCTGACACCCCTGCTGTACAGGATTAAAGCTCATTATTAAGATTTTTCTTGCACAAGAGAAATTGGCAAAAGCAGCTGTCTCTTCATGAAAACAATATAGATCTCACACTTCAAAGAAACAATCCCTGTAGCCTGATTCTTTCTGAACCGAAACTCTTTCTTAGAGCGGCTTGTCGTGCGTGAGAGTCACAAGCACTTTTGGGTCCAGCCAAACTAGGCCAATCTTAAGTCCCAGACCTTTTGTGATGTTATTACTTCTTTAATCAACCACAGAGATTTCCCCTGTCTCAGATGTCTGACTTGGTGGTTGGGACAGGAGCATGTAGCCAGACAGGTCCAAAGTTTACCAGACTGTCTGAGCCACCGAGATTGTGATCGGATGCACAACCACAGGAAGTTCTAGCAAAGAGATGCAACAGAGAGAGAGAGAGACAGAGAGAGAGACACAGAGAGAGAGAGATTGCTTTCCTGCTTTAGTGCATCTAAAAAGTATGAAAACAAAAAAGATAAAATCTCTAAATTAGTAAGGGGGAAAAAAAATCAAAGACGGCGTCACTCAAAAAGGTTTTAATACAGACTCCTGTAACCTGGCCCCTTCCAGATACGTTGGAAATGACTTCAGCCCTTGAGAAACCTGGGAGCTGCTGTGCCATCCACGTTTTACAGTGGTCCTGGGTTGGGAAAGCCAACAACAACAGAGACAAACTCAGAGTAAACCGCACCAAACTTGATTGCAGGAAATACGACTTCAGCAACAGAGTGGTCGATGTCTGGAATACTCTACCTGACTCTGTGGTTTCTTCCCCAAACCCCCAAAACTTCAACCTTAAACTGTCTACTGTTGACCTCACCCCTTTCCTAAGAGGTCTGTAGGGGGTATGCACAACAGAGGTGGTATTCATCCAGTTCTGACCAGTTCTGGAGAACTGGTAGAGGAAATTTTGAGTAGTTTGGAGAACTGGCAAATATAACCTCCAACTGGCCCTGCCCCCATCTATTCTCTGCCTCCCGAGTCCCAGCTGATCGGCTGGGTCTTCTTTGGTTGCCCTGCACAGGAGAACGGAGCTGGAAAGCAGGTTAGTGGGGTGGGGAGGAAATGGAGATTTTGCAGTATCCTTCCCCTTCCATGCCCACCAAGCCAGACCCACAGAACCGGTAGTAAAAAAAATTTGAATTCCATCCAACGTGCCCACCATTCCCTGTCCTAAGGTTTCTTTTTATCTGTATCCATTTCA